TGTACGTCCGCGCCGTCGGCGGGGCCGGTGGACATCAACCGTGGTGGGATCGGGGTTGGGGTGGTGGCGGGGGAGGTCTATGGTGCCGGGGAGCGTTTTGGGGCGGGGCGGGGCAGGGCTTGGGCACAGCCTCAAGCTTTCCTCCCCCTCAGGCCCTGGGGCTGGGGCCGCGAGTCTGGGTCTCCCTTAGTGGCCTCGGCCTCTCAGAACCCCCCGGGAAGGGCAGGCAGAGAACCCATCTTAGATGAAGCGGGGCCTTACCCGGGTTTTGAAGAGCCCCAGAATCAGATGTTGGAATGGTGTGATTTATCAGCCTTGTTTATCTGCAGGGAAATTTCAGTTCATTCCAGATGTTGGTTCCTTCAGTCAACCTCAGGAATAAGACACAAGGGTCAGTGCCGATAAGCAGTTATCTAGGGCTTAACTCAAAATAAACTATGCGGGGTGTAGGGATGGTAGATAGGACCCTCTCTCTTGAAGTTAGCAGTCTTATGGGATTAGAGGCTCTGGATGAGGATTACATCCTCATCTGCAGAAATGGAGGCTGTGAGAAACACACAGAGAAGGGAGGGGTGTGGTGGCGGTAACTCATTACAGAATCTAGGACCCTTGCCTGGCTCTAGTGTAGAAGAGTCTCACCTAGGATAAGGCAGCAGTTATCAAAGTGTATCCAAGGCCCCTGAGGTGCAGGACCATTTTCATAGAAACGCCGGGATGTCACCTGCCTTTTGCACACTCTTGCTCTCCCGTGTCCCTGTGGGGTTTTCCAGGGAAAACTTGGCCTGTGATATCAAAAAACAGGGAATGCAGAGGCAGATGGGAGAATTCAGCTCTCACCAGTCCAAAAGAGATTTGCAGAAATTAAAATCACTGCTATTCTTCTCACTAATGATTTTTGTTTTGAAAAATAGAATTATATTTTGTTTAAGAGTATTAATGGTAACATACAGCAGATTGTTAATATTTTTAAGTGAATTCATGCACTTTTTCTAACTTCTTATTCAACTTCTAACACAGGAAATATTGATAGATTTAACTCACATAAATAGCAGTCTTTTGGGGTTCTCAGTAATTGTTAAGAGTGTATAGGGTTCTGTAGAACAAGAAGTATGAGAGCCCCTGGAGAACGAGTGCTCAGGTGCTTAGTGGTGTCAGACGGACGCCAAGATGTCTTCCGCAACTGCTCCCGGACTTGAAGTAATTGGCCACATGGAAATGGGCGGGCAGTGCCTCCACTTTACAAACCAGAAGCTGCTGAATGTGTCTGGAGTCTAGGCCATGGGCTGTGCAGGGATTCCCATTTTATCTGTTCTATCTAAGCCGGGATTCCTGTGAAAAGGCCTGGCCCTGAAGACCTGCTCTCCTTTGCTCCCTGCCAGGTACCTTCTGTGTGACTTCAACCTTCCAGAGGGCTTCAGCCTCCGTACGAACATCTGCATCCTCATTGCCTTCCTCCTGAAGGCCCTGCTGATGATGGAGGAGCCGGTACTGGGGCCACCTCTACCACTGGCAGAGCCCCGACATCAACCAGGTCTGGATTCCCTGGTCCGACTCCTTTGACCTCCCAAGTCTCAACAGAAACATCCCTGACATTGAGTACGAGCAGTTCATTGCAGGTGAGGCGGTGATCATTTAAAATTTAACTGGGGCCAGGTGGTCGTTGTTCTGGTTCCGATCTGAACATCGGGCCATCTTACTTTGGTCTTGTCAGTCTGCTTAGGGGCCTTGCTCATATTTCCCACACTGCAGGTGAATTTGGTTTTTCCATAGATTTTTCGGGAAATCAATTTGAAGTGTATGAGCTCTATGTCCCCTCACCTCTGAAAACCCTGGCCTCCTGGTGAGATGGAGCGGTGACAAGGAGGCCACTGCCACAGACCTTGTCCCAGAAGGACTCGCTCCCTCTGCACTCAGGGCTTTTCTTACCTGTAGGAAAACACGATGTTTGTGTAGCATGGGCCACGTGCTGGAGAAGGTATGTAACTGCCCATCCAGTATAATTTGGTCCTGCTCAAGCTACACATTTTAAGTTTTGTAAGAGGGAAGACTTCAAGATGTTCTTTGAATAAAGATATTTAGAGCTTATCAATTTTTTAAAATTGAAATGTGGTTGATTTACAATGTTTTGTTAGTTTCAGGTATACAGTATAGTGATTCAGTTGTACATATACATAGTCTTTTCTTTTTCAGGTTCTTTTCCATTATAGGTTACAAGAACTGAATATTGTTCCCTGTGTTCTACAGTGAATCCTTGTCGTTTGTCTGTTTTACATATACTAATTTGTATCTGTTAATCCCAAACTCCTGTTTGCTTTATAAGTCTGTGAGTCTGTTTTTGTTTTATAAATAAGTTTATTTGTATCATTTTTTTTAAATTCCACATATAAATGATATCATATGATACTTGTCTTTGTCTGACTTATTTCACTTAGTGAGATAATCTCCAGTTCCCTCCAAGTTGCTGTAAATGGCCTTATTTCCTTCTTTGTTATGACTGAGTAATATTCTGTTATATCTAAATACCACATCTTTATCCAGTCATCTGTCAGTGGACGTTTAGGTTGCTTCTATGTCTTGGCCATTTTAAACAGTGCTCCTGTGAACATTGAGGTGCAGGTATCTTTTGGAATTAAGGTCCCCTCTGTATATATGCCC